ATGTACAGTAAAACCTAATGTATTTTTATTATTTCTTACTAAATCCAATAAAAAAATAGTATTTTTAGTTTTAAGATGTTATTAGCAGAACTTATTTTTAACAAATATCAGTATAATTTTGAAATTTACATATCTTATATTTATAGCACTAGTATTAGTTTTGTTTTTAAAATAAAATAAATATAAGTTGGGCTTTTAAAGAGTTTATTTATTGGTTGCGATATTTTTAATCAGCTTAAAGTTTTCAACTTATGTCACACGCTTTAACAACTTATGTCACAACTTTATCAAACATTTGCCTATTTAAACTTTAAAATCAAATTTTTAACTATTTAAAGCTATTAGTCTAAAAAATAAAATAAGCTAAAAAGTTTCAAGTCTGGCCAAAAGAGGGCAAACTTATGAATGAAAATGCCATTTAACTTACATTACACGGAAAATAAGGTAAAAATATTGCTTTATCTTTTAGGTCAGATTTCTACGAATCTGTAATACGGTTTGTATTAGAAACTTTCACAAGATGTTAAGAAATCTATGCCAATTTAAAAAATTGATATGTATGTATATATATACATATATACATACATATCAATGATGTAACAAATAATTGGCATCAGTATCACCTTAATTGGCCACTTTTTATACAATAGAGATTGTCATCAACAAAATTATAGACTTTAATATATATTTTTATTAACAAGTTCACTTACAAAAATGGCTGCTATTAGTATTTTATAAGTTGGTAGTTTACAAAAAGCAAAGAAAAAATTTAAATAACAAGAAAATGGTTGAAAGGAGACTTGCATTTAGTGAGAAAAGCATGAAGACAGGATTTCTAAAGTATTGTTCTTGAGGTAAAAAAAAAAGTTTTTGAGCATGGTAGAATAGTTACAGTAAAAAGATGCAACTTTGCTAAATGATGAGTCAGGTGAGATTGAGTTAATGTAGAACAAGAGTTTTTTTCAGACATGATTTCAGAACTTTCTACCAATTAGTTTTGCATGTTTACAATGACCCAGTTGCAAATGCTTAGTGCATGGCAAGTACTGAATATTTTACTTAAGTGATTTATTATAAAAGTTTATGAAGAGTCATGGAAATGTCATGGAAAAATCATGGAATTCCATTTTCAAGTTGAGTGGCCACCCTGTTAGGGTTGGAACAAATTAGGTTTTTGGAACTGAACAAGAGATGTGTGAGAGATGTACATTGCTTGAGCAGTTACCATGATAGTAGTTGTAGAATAGAAAAAGATGCAAACATAAGACAGTTAGGATAGAGGCACAACGTTGGGAGCTAGTGCAGTTCTAACTACATTTACAATGTTTTTTTTTGGATTGTCTAAAATAGAATAAGTATAATTAGAAGAACCAGCCCAAATATGACAGTATTCCTTTCAAGAATGAATAAGAAATTTATAGAGCTAAAGAAAGGAATGAAATGTCTCATCTATAAAATAGAGCCAATTTTGGGGTAAATTTATTGGGAAAATCATTATTACAGATGAGGAACAACACAGGAGTTAAATGATCCAGTTTTCATCATTCAAGGCAGGAAACAATGTAAGCAGGTTTACATCTATACCACCCTATTAAGTGCAAGGCTGGCCTACAAGAATCTTAAGGAAGAAACTTAAAGCAGAGGTTCAATGGATACTTAAGCATGTTGCTTGTAGATACAGTGATAGTGTTACCAATAGTGTTGTTACATTTCAGGTAATGTTTTAGACAGCAAGATTGCATCTACGAACTTGGTCATGATAAATTAAAATACATTTTTAACAATGCTGTTGCACCTTACTTCAAAGAACTTTTATAAAAGTGTTTATGGTGAACCACTTGTAATAAAGTTTTTATTTTTCTGCTATATTCCAATCCTTTTGCAACCATATCTTAGAAAATATAAAACCAATAGTCCAATCTTGTCTTTTCAGGGCAAGGTACTAACTTTTTATTTTGGATTTTTTAAAATTGATTTAAATAGAGCAACTGAAGAAGAACTTCAGAATTTAAATACTTAAAGATAAAGTTAAATCTACAAATGTTAAATAGGTTAAAAAGTAAGCTGCAAATATGGTAATTGTTATATTGGAGAAAATCACTCAAAAAGTCTATTACATTCTTGCATGGTATAAAAATGTTGCTTGTTGCTAATTGGCTTAAAGGGTATGTTTCAGGTTAAAGATAAGCATTCAAACATTAATCACTTTTTTTTTAATGGTTGTTTTATTGTGTGAAAGCAAACTGCACATCAGATGAAGCCCATGCACAAAATAATGAAACAGTTAAATTTATTGATTTGTTTACAAATCCCACAGCACTCTGACTATGGCTTACATCAGGTTCATAAGTAAGTAACATGGATAAAATTTGAATGCTTGGTTTCCACAAAGTATATCTTTTCCAGATAGATGTATCAACAGTATCTATGATTTTAAGTATTGAACAAAAAAAAGTTCTGAAAAATGAGCTCTTTTATTGACAGAGTTTATACAGGTATGAAGTCCTCATCTTGAAAAAGATATAAATATATTAGAGAATATTTAAAAACGACTAATAAAATATGTATCGAAATTTCTAAAAATGTGAAAAACTAAAAAAAAATTTAAATTGACATTCTAAAAACACTGAAAAATGAGGTCATCTTAGACAAATGTATAAGTGGTATCATAATAATGAGAAAGTAACTTGGAAATACTACCAAAGTACTCATTCTCTCTAAATGTTTTAGGACCATCTTTAAATAATCAAGGTAACAAATATCATTTATACATTGAAAAGAAATATTTAAATCATAATCCTGAGGGATTTTTTACAAACTGTATGGTCAAATTCTGGAATAGATTGCCATTTGAAGTTAAAAATTTAAACTTATTTAAAGCTAAGCTAGACTTAATTGAGTGTATTTGACTTTCTTGTTTAGTCTGTAACAGATTTAACATGTTAAATCTCAACACTGAAATAGTCTGCTGCTATCTTTTCTTTCTTTATTCTTTGTTTTTTTTCCTTAATTTTTTAAATCATATGCTATAAAAATAAGCTAAACTAGTATTTACTGATCTATATACACAATATATATTATAATTGTTAATAAGAAGACAAATTAATGTTCATGCTTTCATTAGTTTGTTCTTTTTTACATGAAGTGATGTTTTCCAGCAATTATGTCTGTTTTTTAACAAAAATTATTTGAAGCATGTTTTTTTTTTGTCAAATATTTTTGTCAAAAAATAATTTGTTTATCCATGCAAATATGTATGTATTTTTTTATTTTCAATGGAAAATAATAACAAATAATTATAATAAAATTCATAAACAAATAACAATAATAGTTAATACATATCAAACTACAAACACTTTAAAAAAAAAAACATTAAATTTTACAAAATTAAAGTTCCAAAAAAATATTCAAACCTGCACTACCTCCTTAACAAAACATCTAGATATTGACAGGGTTATGCTACCTCCTTAACAAAACATCTAGATATTGACAGGGTTATGCTAGCTGATTATAGAGATTAATAGTAAAATTAAATATAAATTTAGATTTTCAGCTACTTGTATGTGAATTTTCACAATAAATTAACCCCTTGTTTGTTCTAGTTTTAATCAGAGTTTATTTTGATCTTATTGATTGAATCAAGTTTTATTTAAAAAAAAGTAATATTTATGTTCTTATTATGTTGTGGCATCATAATAAGAATATTTTTTCTGAATAGGATGATTACCGCTTAAGGTTTATGAGTTCCTTCCACTTTTATTCACATTGGTATTGAGAGCTTTATATTGGAGTTTCTTTCTCCTAGTTGAGTTGCCTTCACCATGGATAAAGAAGCTTAATACAAGTAAAAGAAAAATAGTCATCCCCCATATAGCCTGGTGTATTCATTGATAAAAAAGTATTTACATAATTTCAATAAATTAAAAAGTTAAAAAAATAAAGAGTGAACACATAAAATTAAAAAAATCTAAGCCATTTATTTATATGATTTTCTAAGTTTATTACCAATCAACCTACCATCTGACACCTTCATTTTGACATTCTAGTGAGTGATATAAAACTGGATTTATTACAGTCAGATTTAAGAAACCTAACAAACTACTTGACAAACTACTCAAATTTTACAGGTAAGCAAATTAAAATCTTCAGCAATACGAGTGTGTTTTTCATAATTGGGTGGAAGATGGTTATTTCTATGCTAACAAATCTGCATTGGACTCTTTAAATTGTATTTTACCCAGCTCGTATATATATTTGCTGTTTTAACTAAAAGCATAGATATGTTTCTAGCCACTCTATGTCATGTTAAGTGAAATAACTCATTGTCTTATAAAAGGGTTCCCTATATTTTTATATCTTTTTATATATCTTTTTTTTTCTTGGAAATATTGCTGATAAATTATTATAACTAAAATAAAAAATTTATTTTGTTAATTAATTTTTTTTTTGCTTTTATAATTAAAAATTTATTTAATTATAAAAGCAAAAAACAAATATATTTTGACATCCTAATAAATTCTTAACTAGTTAATGTTTACAAAAAAAATAATGAAATAAATAATGAATGAAGCAGAAAAAATTGATTACTTGTTATAAAATGAAAGATAAATTATAAAGCGATTTGAGAAGAGAATGAAATTTCTTATCAAAATTTTACAATGACATTGTGTACTAAAACTTTTGAGATTCAAAGGCACTTGAACAAATTATAAAATCAGTAGATTCTGTCAAAAACTTTTGAAATTCAAAGGCACTTGAACAAATTATAAAATCAGTAGATTCTGTCAAAAAAATGCATATATTTTAGAGCTTTAAAATTCAGACTAAAATGGAGAATGCGAGCTTTGGCTAAAACTACTAAGTTAGTTTTTCTTGGTATAAGTTTATGTTTTGTTTGAATCAAAAAAATTCAATCTAAACATTTTTTTTTAAAATTCTCTTTAATATGAACACAACTTGTTTTGACACTCAGGAATCCCTTTATATATTTTTTTATTCAGGATTGGCGGGTTTAATCCAGTTTGCAATAGTTATAATCAAACTCAGGAGAATTCTTTGAAGTCTAAATGGACTAAGTCTGATGATAACCGTCTTAAAGAATTATGTCAAGAGTTTGGTACTTATGATTGGTCATTCATAGCATCACATTTTCCTCGACATACTGAAATACAATGCCAGCAAAGGTGGAAAAAGGTAACGCTGTTATTATCTTGTTTGTTTTTTATTTTAAAAATTATTTTGTCATTGGTATATCCAGCAATTTTTATGGGACCCTGGTAAAAAAAGAATTGTTTCATGCAAAGTTTAATATTTTTTAAAATTAGAATGACGTTTTTAGATATGGTTTTTATAGGGCAATAGTTTTGAATTAAAATTTAATGAATATGAAAGAGTAAAACAAAGGGTTTAATTAATTATATAAATGAAAAACCTATATACTTTCCAAGCAAAAAGTTTTTTAAAAAGTTGTTGCACATGCCTTTTTTAAAAGACAGATAGTTTATATTTTTTCTAATATAAAAAAACCATATAAAATGATTGCTTCAAAAGATTTAAATATGTTAAAAAAAAGTGTAAGCGTGTGTGTATTCAAATGATTTTTATAGCAAACACCCATTTAAACTGCAAATAACTAATTTAAACTATTACTTTATTTAAAAGTGTTTTATGTAAGGGTTGTATGTACTGTCAAATATTCATTAAAATTTGGATTACAAAGTTTACTGAAAGGCAAAATTGACTTCGGCTTCGACTTTGGTGCTGATTTTGAAATAGAAATTTAGCTTACAGTTAAATTCAATAACAATTGCAAAATTTCATTTGACTTTTTTTAAATTTGAAAATTATTAACTTTTTCAGATAAAAAATAAAAATAAATATAAAATAGAAATATAAGATTTTGTTGAGTACAGTAACATAACTGTCCTTCAGTTACTAACTGAATGTTAGTTTTTAATAAAAAATATATAAAAAAAAGACTTTTTAAAAGCAACATTTTAAAAATGGACTAAAAAGTAAAAAGTAAACTATTTTACAGGATCCAATGACTTTGTGTAGGTACACAACCTGAAATATCATTTAAGCCAATGATTTTTTTATTGTTTTTTTTAGTCAATTTTAAAATGTTGTTTTTAAAAAGTTTATTTGATATATTTTTTAGTTTTTTACTTTTTAGTCCATTTTTAAAATGTTGTTTTTAAAAAGTTTTATATACATTTATTTATTATTCAATAGCGATTCTGTTTATTAACGCTAAACTAAAATGCTAAAAGTTTGTTGTTTATTATTTGTTATAATTACTATTCTTAATGATTTCTTCTATTTAACTCTAAACTTAAGTATGTATTGCCTTGTTCTTAAAAATTTTTTTTTTTAGTTTTTTTTATTATTGCTGACCTCGTGTTTGTTTTGCAAAAAAAATAAAAAAACAAACAAGCGAACCGACAAGAAAGCAAGTTAAATAAAATGTTGTAAAAAATGAATGTAGTTACAAAACTTAATTTTAAAAACTAGTTACGAAATTTTATAACAATAAAATATATAAAAATTTGCTTCTTTAAATAATAGAACTATTTTAAAATAATCATTCAGAGTAAAGTTAACTTTTGTTTGTTGTCAATTAAGAGTTAGCTGTTATTGATAATAATGAACAAAAGTAAAAATTTTAGTCATAATAACAATTGCGCAAATTTAATTTTTGAATGAATGAACTTTTGATCTTTAGCTTGCTATTTTATTTTACATTAAGAGTTTTTTTAGTTTTAATTAGTTTTGTTTTTTTTCCATATTCTTTTCGACTTTAATAATAATAAAATAACGATTACAATAACTTAATAAAAGCTTTTTTAAGATCTAGTTATTTTTATATTTCAATGCCTTTAATGTTTAAAAAACTTCATAGTAAATGTAACTTACTTATTAAGCGTAACATTTTTTAAATTATACTTAATAACTAAAAAATTAAAATTTATTTTATAAAATATACTGTAATTATTTCTTTTTTAATTATCTTTAATTTAAAAGCGCCTTAAAATCACTTTGAAAATTATTAACCTTTAGTAATAGTTAAATAAACAGTATTGCTAATATTTAAATCAAAATTAAAATTAAAGTAATATTTAATTTGTTAATTAAATGCTAAAATTTTTTTATTTGAGTAGTTATTGTCTATATATTATTATATATGGATATATAGACCATTATATATAAACAATAACAAGATGTAATTACTATTCTGTTGACTTTAAATATTGATGAAAAAGTGTTTAAAATTGATAAAAAATTTAAACGTTTAATTACTAACTAGCTGAAATCGGACCCTTAAAAGTACAGATCTTTGTAAGTCTATTTCAAACCAAACTTTTTTATACTTTTTCCCTATACATCCTAGCTTATCGGATCCGTAAAATATGGGTCTTAACCAAGCCTACCATTTCTATCCATATCTATTCTGCACTGATTATTTATATACCTACTCCTTATTTAGTTCAATATTTTTAGTAAAACAATTTATTGTGAAAAGAACATTCAAGAGTAAAAAAATTAACTTGTGCACCTTTTCTGCATATGTAGAGCTTATAAAAGACATAATTAGGTTTATTTTTCTACTAAATGCATTTAATTTGATAGCTCAGTAGTTAAGTGTACTGTCATAAGTGTTTTGTTTTGGGGGTTTAAGACTTTCCCTCAGCGTAATAAATTTAAAATTTTTTTTAATTATGCTTCTATACTTATAACAAAAAAATAATAATATAGCAAAAAAGATTTCTAAAATTTAAAATAAAATTTTAAAGTTTTTTCATTTTATAGATATATTAGCTGTCATATATTGTGATATATTATATCACCCGTAAACTATAGGATCTTGGTAAATTTATTCCACATTGCCCTTTTCTATACTTATTCCTTACTTCAATAATTTGTAGTGAGCTGTAGAAAAATAGCTATATACATATAGAAAAACTCTAATTATTGTTTCCTTCTTAAATCAATGAAAAATAAAAATTTATATTATAATACCTTAATAAGCTTTAATTGTTTTTCCCTAATGATTATTGACTATTACTTTGGGGGGAGCCTAGGCCCCAATGGGCCCCCGATGGTTAGGGCTCTGATATATATATATATATATATATATATATATATATATATATATATATATATATATATATATATATATATATATATATATATATATATATATATCATTTTCATAAAAAGGTAGCTTACATGAGGATAATTCCCTTACTCTGAACTCTTCAACATCAAATATATATTTAAGAAATTTATCTACTTTATATATTTATCTACTTTATCTCAAAAAATATTTATTTATATTCTTATTTAGTTGAAAGTGTTTTAATTTAATTGTTTAACATTTTCATGAAACTCAGTAATTAACGAATATTTTTGTTTTACTCCAAAGTTTAGTATTTGAAAGACTTGAAAGTCAATTTTAGCTCAAACACATTTTATAAAATTATAATTAAAACATGTTAAATAAAGCTTATACACTTTTTCAAGGTTTCAAGGGTATAAAAACATCAATCAAAATAGGGGAATAAACAAAAACTGAGTTTTTGGTGCATCCTTAAGTCCTAAAAACTCTTTTATATATTTTTAATTTTAGTTTAATTTTAGGGCAGAGATTTACTTGATTCATGGGGTTAGGGGAGGATGGCATATCTTGGTTGATTTCAGTTAAAAAACGGCTATAATAAATCATTTTGTTCACACGTGAATCAAGTACACCTCTGCCAATTTTAGACATATGCAACTGCTAATATATATATAGTATATATAATTATATAGTGGCTTACTTTGAAAAATTCTGAAACTTTTTCGTTGCCTAATGTCTAAAGATATACAAAATTATCTCAATGTAATCTCTTAATAAAATAATAAGCTAAATATCTCAGTATTATTGACGTATCATCTCTTTTTATCTCTTTAATTAATTAATATTATATAAAATTAAAAGAATACTCTTACCTTCTGTATTTTGGCTGCTCATTTCTAAAATATAATCTTAATATTTATTCTTGGGTCAAAAACATATTAACTATAAACATATTAACATGTTAAGTTAAATATTCATGCAAGGGGCATTACTAAAACTTTTATAACTTTTGAAACATTAGAGATAATTATGTTCTGTAAAAAGATTAAAAACACCAATAATATGTTTTATTTGATGACATTTCAGATATGTTAAAAAACTTCTTTAATATTAGAATAAATGCGGCTAATGTTGAACTTGGCTAAATATTAGTAATTTAATGTTACTTTTTATCAAAAAAGTCCAACAATGTGTACATTTAATAATAAATATCGAAAACTATGTTTTCGATATTTATTATTAAATGTACACATTGTTGGACTATTATAAAAACAAAAAAAATCTTACTTAATTGTTTAAGGTTAACTAAAACAGACGATATTTTATGCCAGTAAAGCAAATTAAAATTTCACAAAATTACGAAAATGTTGTTAAAAGGGGGATAAACTGTTAAATGACTAGTTTTTGAAAATTGATTCCATTAACCCTTTAACCGTCATCTAATTTTGGTGCGCAATAGCTCCAGCGTCAGGTTAATTTTTAAAAAATGCAAGTATTATATATAACGAACAAAAAGAGTCAGAAATATTGGTAAATTATATTAAAAGTTTAATTAAATCCATAATATATTAAATATAACCTTACTACAATTTAGAAGTAATATTTTAATACATTATGATAATTCTCAAACCAAGATAAAACCATAATCGAACATCACTTTTTTTGTTTGTAATAAGCCACAGTATATTAGCACAGCTAAGTAATTAAACTAAGTAACTAACATTTGAATGTTATCAATTGTCTTCAGATATGGATAGACTTAGAATGCACTTGACCTATACTGCTTTGATCTGAATATTTATTTGTCGTGTTTACTGTCAGATCTACAAGTTCACTTGTGATTAAGATTTCAAAATTCTCCAGCTGGTCATTTGGTGTTACAGACTCATGGACACATGAATTACAATGTAAGATTTGTCTGCACATACCTAATACAGATTTAATGTTTATCCAACAAAAATTTTTGTTTGTTTTTTTTACAGTCATTTGCTTTTACGAGTTAGAACAACAAAAGAAACAGGCTGGGTAACAATTATTTCATTGATTTCAGCAATTGGCTTGTTCATAACATCATCGCTGTCGTTTTCAGCGAATATGTCTGTGCCATCCTATAATATCATTAAGGTCATCATCACTAAAATCTGAAATTTCATTGTCACTTTCAAGCATAATATTAACAATATCTTATGTTAAGTTCAAGTTTGCATCACTACATTTTTTTTTCACAATTTGCTAATTTAAAACAGTGTTTACTATAATTCATATTAAATCAGTTACACTTTTACAAAAATTGCCATTATGAACATAAAATTTCCGTAGAAGACTGTTATAGAATATAAGACTGGTTTTACTGCTTATAGTTCGGTATTGTAAGTGTCACACTTTTTCAAACAAATATTTGCGTATATATACGTCAACGCCGTTTTTTGTAAGTTTTGTCTTGCGTATATATACGTCATTAACGGTTAAGGCGTTAAATAAAAACAGATTTACATTTTTAAATTTAGCCTAAAAATTTAAAGCTTAAGCTTTTAAAAAACTTTTTATTATGTGCACACAGTTCTAGTGTGAGAATGTTAATAAATAAAGACGCCAACTTTAATTATTTTTTTTTTGCGTGATTTAGGGGTAAGCAGAAAAATTCTGCTAACCAGCCTCGAACCCCTTCTTCATCTATTAGGCTGGCTGATGTAACCTGTGTTACATTGACTATAATACTAGATGTAACCTGTGTTACATTGTTTCCTGCCTAGGATGATGAATGGTGGATTTCCTTGACTCTACTCATAGAATTTTGCTTATGCCTCCTTGATAATGGCTATGCAACTCTTCCTGTTATCTCCATATGAGGGTACAGCTCTAAAACTCAGTTTAATGGTTCTGAGGCCGGCTGGTAGTAAGGTTTCCCAAACTCTGTGGTAGTTCTCAGAGAGGCTGATTCCATCAACAGCTGCAAAATATCAAAGTATTAACAGTGCCATGTTGCGCATAGATGGTGTCCCTGTTAATGCTTTTGGTGTGCATTGTCAAGGCCACATAAGGAGCCCTATGTCACGGCTTAGGGTTAATTAACAGGACTGAGACAACTGCATAGCTCATTGATTAGGAGGCTGTGCTCTATCTATGAATGAGTCAAGTTCTCATTAAACCCAAATCATGATCAAAGTAACCAAAAATTTTAAACCTAAAAAACCATCCCCACCACCTAAATGTTTTAATATATCTTTTACAAATATTCGCGGTCTGCGAAGCAACTTTCTGTCAGTTAAGTCTTACCTCCTGCAAAAATCACCAGACTTGCTTGCACTCAGTGAAACAAATTTAAGTTCTGCAATTCCTTCTTCAGATGTCAGTGTTGATGGGTACTATCCTTTGATTCGTAAAGACTCCAATAGTCACATGCTAGGTTTAGGGGTATACATACACATTAATTCCTCTATTTGTCGTGAAATCAGGTTCGAATCCTTTGACCATTCTTTTATGTGCTTTCACTTAGCACCTCTTCACTCTATCACCTTTCTCTTTGTTCTTTATCGTTCTCCTTCTTCCCATGATTGCACTTTTTTAGCTATCTCTGATCAAATTGACTATGCCCTCTCTCTTTACCCCTCTGCCAATATTGTTGTTGTTGGTGATTTTAATGCCCATCACACTGAATGGCTTGGCTCTAACACCACTGATCCTGCTGGCACTAAAGTCTTTAACTTCTGCGTTTCTCAATCTCTTACTCAGATAGTTAACTTTGTGACTCGTTTTCCTGACAACCCTAATCGATTACCCTAATCGATTACTCCTTGATTTATGTCTTGTCTCTGACCCTAGCTTATGTTCAGTTTCTCCCTTTTCTCCCTTAGGTGGTTCTGACCATGCAATGATCTCTATAAATCTTTCTTCTTGTACTTCTTTATTGGGCTCACCTTATCATCGCACCACCTACTACTACCCTAAAGCTGACTGGGATTCTTTTCGTGATTTTCTTCGTGATGGTCCTTGGGCTGATGTTTTTTCTCTCTCAGCTGATAAATGCGCCTCCTACGTAACCTCCTGGATTCAGGCTGGAATGGAAGCTTTTATTCCTTCGCGTCAGTTTCAAGTCAAGCCTCATTCTACTCCATGGTTTTCTCCTTCTTGTGCGGCTGCTATATCCAATCGTAATCATTTTTTTCATCTTTTTTAAGAAAAAGAACAACTCTTTTGAGAACAAACAGCTATTTATTATTGCAAGAAATCGATGTAAAAAGGTGCTTTCTGATGCTAAACTCCATTATTCTCAGTTCACTAAATCTCGCATCTTATCACAGAAGTTAGGTTCTAAAGACTTTTGGAAAATCTTCAACAGCATTATTAACAAGGGTAGATCTAACATTCCATCTCTCATTCATGGGATTGATCTTATTACCTCTCCCAAGGATAAGGCAGAACTATTTGCAAAGAACTTTTCTTCTAATTCCACTCTTGAATCTTATGGACATTCTCTTCCTTCCATTCCAGTCAAACAGGTTGACCCATTGTTAGACATTCAAATCACCCTGGCTTCTGTTGCTTAAGTCATATCTCAATTAAACTCATCTACAGCTTGTGGTCTAGACAACATTCCTGTCACAGTCTTGCAGAATTGTTCTCCAGAATTTTCTTCAATTCTCTTTAAACTATTTAACAAGTGTTTGACTGAGTCTTGTTTTTCTGCTTGTTGGAAAATGGCATCTGTGGTTCCAATATTCAAAAACTCTGGAGAAAATTCTGACCCTCCGAATATCGTCCGATCAGTCTTCTTTCTGTTATTAGCAAGGTCTTTGAGTTTTTGATCAACAAATTCCTCACATCTCATCTTGAATCAAATAAACTACTGTCAGACAATCAATACAGTTTTCGATCCTCTCGCTCTACGGTCGACTTGCTAACTGCTGTAACTGAAAGATTTTATCGTGCATTAGATGGAGGCAGTGAGGCTAGGGCTATTGCTCTTGACATATCTAAAGCTTTCAACAAAGTTTGGCATGCTGGTCTTTTCCATAAGCTTGCTTCAAATGGTGTTTCTGGGAAAGTTTTTGAGATTATTAAATCATTTCTTTCTAACCGGTTTATTAAAGTCATCCTTGAAGGCCAACACTCTTCTTTATTTCCAGTAATTTCTGGGGTTCCCCAAGGTTCCATCCTGGGCCCTGTTTTGTTTCTTATCTACATAAACGATCTTCCTGACAACCTTTCATCTAAAGTAGCTCTTTTTGCTGATGACTCAACTTTATACTCCTGTCTTGACAAAAAGTCTTCTCTTTTCGATTGCCTAGAACAAGCAGCTGATCTTGAATCCGATCTCACTTTAGTAATAGATTGGGGTTCACAGTGGCTTGTGAATTTCAACTCTAACAAAATCCAGTTGTTTACTGCAAGCAACTACCGTAATATGGTCAACATTCCTATATTAATGAATACCAGTCCTCTTACTGAGTCCTCCTCTTTACGTCTTCTTGGATTATCGCTTACTACTGACCTTTCATGGAAACCATATATACAATCGATTGCTAAATTAGCTTCTGCTAAGGTTGCTTCTCTTTATCGTGCTCGCCATTTCCTTACTTCTGATTCCATTCTCTACCTCCACAAATCTCTTATTTGTCCCTGTATGGAATACTGTTGTCATATTTGGGCTGGTTCTTCTAACGATTCACTTTCTCTTCTTGACAAGGTCCAAAAACGCATTGTAAATGTTGTTGGACCTGGACTATCTGCTAAGCTTGAGCCTCTTTCCCATTGTCGTAAAGTTGCATCTCTTTCTCTTTTCTGCAAATACTATCATGGTCACTGCTCAAAGGAGTTATTATCTCTAGTTCCATCAACTTAAGTTCATTCTCGTTTTACTCGTCATTCAGCTAAGTCTCATTCGTTTACTGTATCTGTCCCTGCATGCTCTAAAAACTTTTATTCATCTAGTTTTTTTCCCCGCACTTCAATCCTTTGGAACTCTCTCCCATCTTCATGTTTTCCTGACTCATACAACCTTCAACTTTTCAAGACTTCTGTCAACCATTTCCTTGCTCTATAACTCTGTTCTTTTTTTTCCTAGTAACTCCCAACTAAATAGTTGTTGCTTGCAGTCTTGTTGGGAGTGAATCAGAACAATATAAAAAAAAAATTTATGATGAAAAAGAAATTTAGTATTGTCTTTTTTTTTTTAAATCATCTTTTATCAAATAAAAATATATTTCATTCATGCTTTATTTTACTTTGGAAAAAAAACCTTAAATAAGAATTTTACTTTTAATTACTTCAAGCTGCAATTTGGGTAGATTATATTTGGCATCCAAATAAATAGTTATTATAGTTCAATAATTTTAACGTTTTACTTCTAATAAAGGCAGTATCTTTTTTTGTTTGGAAAAAAATTGTAAATGTAGTTAAACATGCTCTAGTTACTAAACTTGAGCCTCTGTCTCATCATTAAAAAGTTGCATCTCTTTTTTAAATATAATACTATGGTTGCAGCACAAGTAAGCTATCATCAATTGTAACTCATCATTTAGCATCATTATTTTACTCCTATAACTGTTCATGTTTTATCTAGTTTTTTTTCTGGAACTTTGATTAGGAATTCCCTCCTATATTTATTTTTTCCTAACACATATGGTTTACAGTTTTCTGTTAATCACTTTCTTATTCTTTAAAAGTTCAATTTTAGTACTAGTTAATTATTATGAATAAATATATTTCTCAAAACATAGTTCTAAGGTAAATGAGCAATCAGTTTTTAAGTTTTTGAATAATGTGTAAAGATTGAGTTTTTTAATGAGCCTAACTTGAAGATATCTTTTGTGATACTAAAGGAGACTACTAAATACATTATTTTAAATACTTTGCATTAAAAAAATTTAACAAAGCCATTAATTTTATTTAGTTTAAATATTTAGTGTTTTCATATTTTTTCTATTATTGTATAGGTTTTAGATCCTAACTTGATTAAAGGTGCATGGACCAAAGAAGAAGATGATTTAGTTACAGAATTAGTTTTAAAGTATGGCCCTAAGAAATGGTCTTTGATTGCTTCCCATTTAAAAGGCAGAATTGGAAAGCAATGTCGTGAGAGATGGCACAATCATCTCAATCCAAATGTTAATAAAACAGCTTGGTCTGAAGAAGAAGATAGACTTATATTTGATGCTCATGATAGAATGGGTAATAGATGGGCTGATATAGCTAAACTTTTGCCTGGTCGCACAGATAATGCCATAAAAAATCACTGGAATTCTACAATGAAAAGACAGTTAGAACCTGGCTATAAACATAGAACAAGAGAAAAGCGTCGCAATTCAAATCTATGTCCAGATTCTAAAAAAGAAAACTCTATGTGTTACACCGATAATATACCTCTAAATACAATTGAAATGAAAGAAAATCAATTTAAATCTAAAAATGCTTCAACATGTGTACTACCAAGTTTTAAAATTTCTAAGACTTTTAAAGAAGAGGATAGTGATGTTGATTCTTCTGAACTTATTATGACACCATTTAAAAACATAACAAATCTTACAGATTTAATTGAAGAAATGGGCGGTGTTTCTGAAATAATGAGTAACCCAAAGCCTGAAGATAAAGAAAATTATTTTGAATATTCTTCAAGGTAATGATTTTTAATTATTCTTTAAAAAGTGTTATTGTCTTACGTTTAACGTGCTTAACATGTTGTGTTTAAAAAAGTTTTTTTTGGTTTTAAAGAGTGGATTTGATTTGTTGGCTTTTTTTGTTGTTCTTGTTGTTTTTTGTTTTAAACATATACAAATATTCCCGTCATTTTTTTATGCATCTACATTGTAGTGTTTTAACAAATACGTTCATTTAAAGGAAAAGCATAAAAACATGCATTTACCTTTATTATTAAGTTTTATATCTTTTCTTTGTTAATAATTTTAACATGTCTACATGCACTGTAAACAATTTTGCTGTATTCTGTGTTTTTGTCTTGCACATTGTGCTAAAACTATTCAACTTTAAGAATTAATTTTATGCTCTTTTCTTTTTTTCACACTTTTTATTTTAAAAATACTCTAGCTTGATTAACTTTTATATATGCATGATCCAAATAATCAGGTGCTAGTTTGTGTATTTCAAATAATAATTCACTTTATGGCCCAGTCTTTATTAATATTCTTAATAATATATAATTTAATATATAAATTTAATAATGTTATAATACTTTCTCAATATTGCAATAATTATTGGGACAAGTCTCTTTTAACTCAGTTTTTATCCATTTTTGCCAGGTTACTTTATTACTTAAATTCTCGTACTCCAAATACTTAAAATTCATACTCTTAAGTTTGACTATTTAGTGCATTCATACAATATTCACAGTGGTTCATGAAAAACTCTCTAAGCAAGTCCTCACATGTGGAATTTAAGTGCATGTCTTTGTCAACAAATCAATAGTGTGACATTTTTAAAGCAACTAATTTGAAACGCATATTTTTGTGAATAGAGCAAACACAAATATTATGTGATACTTTACATGGACTTTATATGAACATTACATGGTTTTAAGTATAAAATTGTTATTGGATTAATAATCCAATAACAATTCTTATTTTTTTTAAAAAAAAAACATTTCATAAACTTCTTTAATAGGGTAGATCAAATGTTTAACACTAAGCTTTTTGGTAACTCCATCCTCACAAGATTTATTATTAAAATTTATTATCTTATCTTTTTATATACTTCTTTTGCCTTTTGCTATTTTTCTTATTTCTTGTTTTGCTCATCATTAAGTGAAGTTTTAAATCTCTTTCTATAAGATTTTAAATAAAATAAAAAAATAATTTCATATTAATAAGCTTTATATACAGCTTGTTTTGCTTTGTACTTTGCAAAGTAATATAAGAGCCTGTTTTCTTTATCATACTTTAATAGCATTTTATATTCCTTCCTTTTTTTTTAATAGCATTTTATATTCCTTCCTTTTCCTATTCCTTTTTTCTTCTAAAACTTTACCATATTCAAAACATTGTGGTTATTATTGTGTTTGTAAAGATTCTTTTTCATACTTCATCATATTTTCATCATCTTTTGGAAAGCTTTTTTCTATATGATTTCTGTTCTTGCTTGAATTTTCTCAAAGTATTTGCATTCTTAAGTTTTCTTTCAAAAATTTGCACTCAAAAAAGTCTCTTTTCTTATGTCATCTTATTCACAGGTTTTATGTCACAGTTAGCTAATTTGTGCTGTGCAAGACACAGCACAAATTTTATAAGAATAATATAACTTTACGCTATATTACTTATGCTACTCACCCATATTTTATTTTTTTGAAAAAAAAGATCCTAAACATAATGCTACTTATCTTAGTTAATAGTAAGGTTCAACAACATCATATAATTTAATTTATGAACCATATTATTGTTCCATAAAAATGGCAGACAAAACACTGCACAATATATGCGGTTGTCAAACTCAATATGGCTCTCCAAAAAAGTTGAAGATTTGATTTTTTGCCTGTAGATGGCACCATGTGTTATGCAACATGATACCTACTATTTTAAATGTTAAGATACAATTTTTTTACACAAATCTGTAAAAAAAAAAATCCAAATTTTTTGAGTTACAAGGTTTTCATTCTAGGCCATCAATTTTCAATTGAAAAAAAGCATTAGGGATTTCACTTGAGTAAATTATATTTTCTATCAGTATTTCTGCTATAATTCATCAATCAATACATCATTTAATGTTCTGTGTTTAAAAACAAGCTTTGCTGATTTTACTATTTTCATTTCTTAACTTGTTTTAAATCATGTTTTAATCCATATATTATATATATTCATATATATATGTGTGTATATATATATATATATATATATATATATATATATATATATATATATATATATATATACATATATGTATATATATATATGAATATATTTATGTATACATATGTATATATATATGTATGTATATAAGTGTATATATATATATATATATATATATATATATATATATATATATATATATATATATATATATATATATATATATATATATATATATATATATATGTATATATATATGTATGTATATAAGTGTATATATATATATATATATATATATATATATATATATATATATATATATGTGTGTATATATATATATATATATATATATATATATATATATATATATATATATATATATATATATTGGCATTCTGGTCTTCTCCATAAGCTTTCTCCATAATCTGGAAACATCTTTAAGATTATTGAATCCTTCCTTTCAATCGTAGTATAAAAGTTGTTCTTAATGGACAGCACTCTTCCTCTATTCTGTAACCTCAGGGGTTCCTCAAGGTTCAATCCTTGGCCCTATACTCATTTTAATTTACATTAACGATCTTCCAGATATTCTCACATTTAAAGTAGCATTGTTCGCTGATGATACTACCATTTATTCTTGTCATGATAAGAAGCTAACTCTCTCTGATTGCTTAGAGGGGGGATTTGAGCTTGAAAAGGATTTACTTCTGCTTCAGCATGGGGTTTACAGTGGCTGGTGAACTTTAATTCACGTAAAACTCAATTTTTTTCAGCCAATCATTATCGCCATAATTTAGACCTTCCTTTATACTTCCAATCATTATTGCCATAATTTAGACCTTTTATATCTTATACTGCTGAGTTAGGTGAGCATGATGATGTCATACTGAAATAGCCTGCTGCGGGGGCTTCAGTACATACATCGACTGACAAATAGCCTGACTTGCAGTGGAGTGCTGCTACATCGACTGAGGGTTTGGTATGGGTCAGCAACCTTTTCATTCATTATTCTTTGTTTTCCCTCATCGTTTTCTAAAAGTGCTCACTTAATTTAGGCTAGCAAAAAAAGTGAGCAATTGCGCATATAAATATGCTATAGTAGATATATATATATATATATATATATATATATATATATATATATATATATATATATATATATATATATATATATATATTACATATATATATTACATTGACCTTATGCAGTATTCAAAAAATAAATAGCCAATGTAAAATAAATAACATATTGTAAATTTAATATATATATAAAAAATTATTTTTCGGTATAAAAACCAATTATACATTGTGTTTTTGCTTTTTTTCTAAAAATATCTTTTTTTGTGTGTTTTCAATTAAAAGGTTTATAATACTTGTATTTAAAAAAATTTAAAAAACAAATAAATTCAATTCTGTTAAAGTTTATTTTTGCCTTCAATTTCCATGAAAAGATAAGTTTTCAACAAATTAAAAAGTTTGTTGAAAAATATTCATCTTTCAAGTTTTCTGAAAAGCACGGGGATCCTCAGTAGAGTGTCTGGGGGAGGGGGTGATA